GGGTGTGGGGGAGACCCCCAGGGTGTGGAGGACCCCGGGATGGGGGGGAGACCCCCGGGATTTGGGGGAACCCCGGGATTTGGGGGGGAACCCCGGGATTGGGGGGGGCCCCGGGATTTGGGGGGGAACCCCGGGATTTGGGGGAACCCCGGGATGTGGGGTGGGGAGGGACCCGCGGACCCCCGGGAGGGGGAGGGGGGAACTGGGGGGCACCTGTGGGGTGGGGGAGGGGCTTGGGGGGACCCCGGGGATTTGGGGGAGACCCCCGGGATGTGGAGGAGACCCCCAGGGTGTGGAGGACCCCGGGATGTGGGGGGACCCCCAAAATTTGGGGAACCCCCAGAATGTGGAGCTGGGGAGGGCTCCGAGCTTCTTCGGTTTTGGGGGTCGCTGTGGGGCGGTTTTGGGGGTCTCTCCCCGGTTTCGGGGTCTGTCCCGGTTTCGGGGTCTCTCCCCGGTTTCGGGGTCTCTCCCCGGTTCTGGGGTCTTCCCCCGGTTTCGGGGTCTCTCCCCCGGTTTCGGGGTCTCCCCCCAGTTTCGGGGTCTCTCCCCCGGTTTCGGGGACTCTCCCCGGTTTAGGGGTCTCTCCCCAGTTTCGGGGTCTCTCCCCCGGTTTTGGGGTCTCGCCCGGTTTTGGGGTCTGTCCCGGTTTCGGGGACTCTCCCCGGTTTCGGGGTCTCTCTCCCGGTTTTGGGTCTGTCCCGGTTTTGGGGTCTCCCCCCGGTTTCGGGGTCTCTCTCCCGGTTTTGGGGTCTGTCCCGGTTTAGGGGTCTGTCCCGGTTTCGGGGTCTGTCCCGGTTTTGGGGTCTGTCCCGGTTTCGGGGTCTCCCCCCGGTTTCGGGGACTCTCCCCGGTTTCGGGGTCTGTCCCGGTTTCGGGGTCTCTCCCCCCAGTTTCGGAGTCTGTCCCGGTTTCGGGGTCTCCCCCCGGTTTCGGGGTCTCTCTCCCCGGTTTCGGGGTCTCTCCCCGGTTTCGGGGTCTCTCTCCCCGGTTTCGGGGTCTCTCTCCCGGTTTCGGGGTCTCCCCCCAGTTTCGGGGTCTCTCCCCCGGTTTCGGGGTCTCTCTCCCCGGTTTTGGGGTCTCTCTCCCCGGTTTTGGGGTCTCCCCCGGTTTTGGGGTCTCTCCCCCCGATTTCGGGGTCTCCCCCGGTTTTGGGGTCGGCGTGGGGCAGTTTTGGGGGGTCTCTCTCCCGGTTTCGGGGTCTCCCCTCCCCCCCGCCG